CATCTTAACCAAATAGCTTTGAATTAAGCGATTGCTTATCTGTTATGTATATTGGAATATACCCATACATTGCTAAAGGTTACTAGAGGATTGTGTCAGGTGCCTGATAAGGGCAGCCATTTTGGCCCAGAGATATAAGCTGGGCTGCAGTTTGCTGCAGGAAGGAAGGAGGAAACATCAGCCTGAGAGGCTGCTCTGGCCAGAGTCAGGAGGTAAGGGCAGGGGCTATGGGGATGAGGTGATAGTCGTACAATCGCTCAGTCAATGCTCAGGTGAGGGTAGCAGGAAACACCCAACAGACTGCGCTGGGGTTGACCAAGGTGAGGAGACCTAAGCCTGAAGCCGGGTGAGGCTGGGTGGCATGAATGTGGCCCTTGAGAGAAGGCAGTATGAAAGAGAGCCAGCGGAGTGAGTGGGACCCCGGTGACGGGGTAGTGTGCAAGAGGCCCTCTGGGGCTGTGGAAAGATCTACAAATGTGTGCCCAATTTGCTCCAGCCACAGGCCAGAGAAGTAACACCAGAGTAACATCTGCGAGGCATGGGACACATGTAGGAGCAGTCGGAGCAGGTATTAGGCCCTTGTCAGCAGAGCGAGTAATGGCTAGCCTCCCACCTTTGTAACAACTCTCATATTTTCCCATCAAGGCATGGCAGACGAGCAAAGCATGTGGTTACCTCAGGAGCAGGGTGGCTGGTGAAGACCTGATGAGGAGGCCACCCTGTTACAAGGATATTAATTTGAAAGACTGGAAAAGTTTTTTTTTTCTTTTTTAATTTTATTGTGGGGTGCATGGACAGTATGGAAGAAAAGGGTTTGGAGGGAAGTATATCATTCCTTGGAACCTTTCTACAAATCACTTGATCATATCACCAACCTCATTGACTCTCACTTTATTTTTTCAAAAACGTATCTGCCCCCAAAGCCTACAGGGTTTTCTCCCCTCCCTTTGATGTCCACTACATAATGTTACTTTATTGCTGTCTTATTTATTTTTCATTAGTTATTATTTTATTTGGTAGCTATTATATAACAACATTATTTAAAACAGGGTAACGTTATAAGAATGCTATGGTTGTAATGGCAGGCAATCAGTACTTGGGAAATGAAAAAGTTATAAACACTTGAAAATGAACTTTTAGATTGAAAATACTTGTGCAACCTTGCAGGCTGTGCCTTTACTTCACTAAATGTCTCTTGAGATACAAGCTTATGAAAGACACTTAATAAATCGTAATTATTATTATTATCCTTCTACCAAAGGGTGAAAAGTTCAGAAGAAAAATACAGGGGATTTAAAGATATTTCTATAAAGCCATAGCTTCTTCAGGTTTCTTTCACCTCATCTCTATGAGATTATTTTTTGTTATTAAGAAATCTCCAAGGTATACCTGTGTCTCTTAACAAAGATGCTATTATCTAATTCATGTGCCTATCTATGACTGGTTCAAGCAGTTAGAAAGGCCACTGAACAGAATGAAAGGCAAGGAAGAAGAATCTTTACTAGAAAAGACACATTTCTTTGAGTGTTGAAATCCTCCATGCTTTCCAATTTGGGGAGATGAAGAATTAGCTGGGAGAAATGCCCACAGAAAGTGCAATGTCTGAATTCTTAAAGGAGAGCCTGCATTCAATGCCAGAAATTCCAGAACATCTGCACATAGCAGCTCTCATTGGGGCAGTACTAATTTATACACCTTTTTCAGGCATCACATGCACAATTCTGAGAGGAGAACATGCTTCAAGGAGTGATATTCCTAACTCTGTGTTGTCCAAATAGATAGCTTTCTTTTCTTGAAAGACATATGTTGAGAGCTTGACGGGAATGCCAGTAGCTTTTTGGTAAGAGGAGTATAGTAAATTTGACCCTTGAGGGTAGTTCACCTCAGTATATCTCATTTTCCCTAGAATGGATGTGACTTTCCTCCTAGCTTAACAAAGGGGGACATTTGGCCATAGCTTGCCAAATAAATGACCATCTTTATCCCTCTGTGTTGCAACAGCACAAAACTTTCTGTCACTTCACTGAAACCACATTGGATGTGAAGTCCTGACAGCCAATGATGTTGGCTAGTTATATCCTACTGGTAAACTCTCCTTGCTGTGCTATTCCCAAATGCATGCCACCTATCGTGCACTCACCTGCACACCCCAAACCCAAAAGTGTAGCCCAATATCCTTTCAAGCATACCAGATCAAGGTTTCAAGAGCAGCACCTTCACCACGTGTTTCCAGGTTGGGAGCACACAAGTGGGCACCTACATGGGAAAGGCGTGCTTGGGAATGGCCCAGCAGGGATATACCACTACCACTGAATAAACACACCCAAACACACTGTGTTTTTTTCCCCATATATCACCTACAAATCGTATGGCATTGGTGTGCATTAATTTTAATGTACTTGGAGGCAACGACATTAAAATAACAAAGATGAAACAGATGAAAATTCTCCTGAAAACGCAGTAAGTCTCTTATGCTTTGCAAATCATACATCTTGAATTACTTCAGATCTCAGGTCCATCCTCTTCAACCTCCACAGGAAACTGCATCATAATAGTTGCATAAATAGTCACATGCATCTTGACTTGTATATTTACATATGTTTCTGGTACTTCTCTGATGAACTGGACATTTTCAAAGGCCAGACTTCATAGAGAACTCCAATGAACTGAAGTGTTGTGTTCTGGTTCAAAATTGCAATCAGATGGGGCAAAAATACAACCTTTGAGGTTAGCTTAAGCAGTATAAAGCTTTAGCACTATTCCGAGGTTTATTAGCCAGTTTCTTGACTTCTCAGACCTTTACTGTTTTGCCATCTGGTGTAATTGAGAATTGCCTTCTGCAACAAAAGGGAAAATCTAATTTCTCAGCAAGCCATATGGGGTTATTAAGATCATTAAACCCTTGTATGCCATAATGGCTGGGCCAAGAGGACTGCAGGGAATGTAAATATTGTGCGATTCATTTTACAGGTTTAGACTGGATGCTAGAAATTAGCTTGACGGCTATCTAGCGATGAAACGTAATGGTCACGTAAGTGACTGTGGTGGCTTTTTGGCCGGGTCAGCTCCTGGTGCATTTGTTCAGACTGATGATGGATTAGGAATGTTTCTAATAGCTTCTGATCACCCAGGGTGCATCTTTTATGTCAGCCTGCCAAATGGTCAGAATCTAACAGATGTCGTTTCCTCTCATTTTACCAGTGGTGCAAAAAGTGTCTCAAGTACAGATAATATTCCTTCTGATTTATACCTATTTTCATTTTTCAGGAGTGCCCAGTCTTTGCTCCTGATACTAAAGCTGATGGCAATGAAAATGTACTTCCCTCACTTTCTTAAGAATGGGGAATCTGTTCTCCTTCAAATGCCTGTACACTTCTTTTAACCAAGACATTGGAAATTTTCCTGAGTCAGTGGTGACATTGTGCAAGCTTGCTTCCAAGCAAAAAACCATATATAGTCTTTGGCACAGACTCATGAGGCTTTTCAAGCTGATTTTTGATTAATAAAGCTTCCAAAATAAATTCAGGAGTTGTGAAATTTAGAAGAAATTATATAAAGAATGGTCTAGCAAATGCAAATAAACACAGAAATTAATCTTTTAATTTTGATTCGTGATTACTACTAAAGGATTACTACCAAACCATTACAATGTGGCAAAGAAATAAAAATTCAAATGGAAGCAAACTTCTACATGTACTTGATAACTGATAGCTGAAAGCTATTTATAGCTTGAGAACTCAAAGTAATTTATTTATCCTTTTCAAGAAATGCAGCTATTGATTACACTTTGTATTCTGTCTTTATGTTAATTGTATCTCAGCATGTTTTTCTATTGGCATACTGCATCTGCTCCTGCATGACAACTGTGGTCATTAGATTTACTTCAGATTCTCTGAGTTATTAATTGAATTATAATGAGAATTTAGCCATTACAGATATGCACTTCTACTTTATTTTATGCTCAACTAAAAGGCAAGCAAATGACAACAATTGTCAAAATCAGCTGTGAGAAAGAACAGAAAGGAAAGAAAAAATAAGAGGAAATCCTATTTTCCCCCGCAAAGTAAGAAAAGCAGTGACCTTCAGGTATTTTTCTTAGCACTTTTTTGGAGAATTGTGAAGAAATTTGGTTTGTCACTGACAGAGATAAGGTGCTTAGGAGGCACAAATACCTTGGGCTGTAAGCTAAGCTAGATCCTCAAAACACTTTCTGACATCATTTACCCTTAATGTAACAGATAACTATACTCAGCGCTGTGACAGGCATCATATATTTATATTGATGAATTGTCCTACATCAGCATCTCCAGTGCATTAGACCCAAGCATACCCTTCTTCTCTGATATAGTCAGGATGACTCTTTCACAATGGCTTTCCTGAATTACATTCAGCTGAGATGATTGTAAGGAAAACCTTGACCTGTGTTAAATTGCAGTATATGTTCAGACACTTTTAATGATGATGATGAAGAATAGTATACCGATGAGGCCTGCAGGACGCTGTCTTCTGTCAACAGAACAAGGAAGATAGCAGAAGTTTGTATGGCCATTACCTAACGAGTCTGAGCACTGGCTGGAGAAACCAGAAACCAAACTCCACTAAAGTCAATGGGAGTTTTCATCCCGGACCTTTTGCATTTTTGGCCTCTTCGGAAAGCTGTGGTGCTGTTCTTTGTGATGTGGACAACGATTGAGACCAAAGAGCTATATAATGGAAAGGGTTTTGAGCCACCTCTGCCTCAGTGATAAATAGCATAACTCTATTGCTGATCATTTGAGCTTCTATCCTCTCTATGCTTCCACAATCAAATTCTTGGTATTTCTTTTATTTCAGTTCAAGACACCAATGTCATGTTTTGGAGGTGGGTTATTAATTTCCCTTTTCTTGAACACTGGGTCATTAATTGCCACACATCCTGTCAGCCCCAAATTTATCTTTGTCTCTCTGTTTTAATTTTTGCTTCAAGCCCTAGTAACACATTAATCAATATTTACTTTTACCTGTGTGAATGATTCAGAGCAAGATCAGGCTTTCTCATTCTTAAGTAGCAGGTTACAAGCTTTGTCTCAATAAAACTGGCAATGCTTGAAATGTCTTGTGGGGATGCTTCAAAGGGCTTCCCTAAAGCTGCACCTTTGCTGCAAAGCTTTAAAAGAAACAAAAATACCATTTACTAATATCATAATGTACTTTGGTTACACCAAAATGCAAGTCTCAGGCAAAATTGATTTCTAAGTGAAATATGCCCTGAGTTTAAATATACCTACCAATATAACAACAATCAATATATATGATTATATATGGATATAATATAAAATATAGTGTCACCTTCTGTTGTCAAGTACTTCCTGAAAGGGATATTCCAGACAACATACTGCAAGTTAAAAAGGAAACAAATGGTAGATAAATGTGCTCCCCTCTTCCTGCTTTGCAAAATAAGGCCCTGCATTCAGGTTCCCAGAAATTAATGGGACTCTTTGGGGGTAGGCTCTAAAAAGGAGTCATGTCATATATAAATGTATGTAGACCCCTGGCACACAATCATTTAAAAGTGTAATTGGACCTAATCCCAACAATTACACCTCCTTCCATGCAACAAGTACATGGCAAGAGGTGCAAATTTGGGATTGGGGATCTGATCCCAATCATGCTCTTTCTACTTGCCAGTGCAGGGTAGTCCAGGATCATTATTCTCAGCTCCCCCTGCACCAGCCAATTGAGAGCAAGGTGTGTGCAGATCTGGAGCCAGGGCTGACAATTAGCTGACAGTCAGGCCCAGCCTCTGACTGCTCTGGAGTGGTTCAAGACCCCAGTACAGGCTCTGTCTAGAGCCAGTAATCAGCTGATCATCAGCCCTGGTCCCAACCTGCTATGCATTTAATTTAAGGCACCATACAAACCAGCCATAAATTGTTCTACATTATATGTGGAACATTTTTATGGCTGATTTGCCATTTTATGGCACCCTTGCCATTTATACTGTGAATAACATGCAAATGGGAATGCACTAACCTAATTGTCACTTATTCTCATATTAATTTTGTATCCTCAAATTTTGTTTAACAAGCCAAATGTCTTCTAAAGATCCTCATGTTTTGGGAGATGAGAATAAGCTCCCCTCTTCTTTTACGATCTGTTTCCTTCTATCTTGCCCCTTACCGCAGTGTAGGTTATACATATTTTTTCAGTTCTAGACAGTAGTTTTTCTGACTTGTAAGGTTTACAGTGGAGGCATCCTAGGATTTTTGCTAATCTTTGGCTGGAGTTATCAAAGATTATCCATTCATTTTGTCACATCCTCCAAAAAACTTCACATAAGGTCTCAAATACTTTGGAACTCAAAATAATTTGAGAGCTATAGGCTTTTAGCTAAACTATTTCATTCATTAGCGGTTTATCCAGGATAAGTAAATGTGACATCAAGAAGTAGTATCGTTTGATTAATGAGTAGTATACATGATGAAGGGGTTTATCATGGATGTCAGTGGAAATAGGAGTTAAAGTATATTAGTCTTATATTAGGATGAGCCTGATAGCTAAAAAAAAACATGACAGTGGAAAAAAGAAGAAATCACTGTATCCTTCATAACTCAGCACTTCCTATCATTTCTCATTCCTTCCTGAGATGTTGACTTATACTTCCATTCAATCTATGATGTGAGCCTCCATAATCCACTTTCAAATAAGCCAATTTCATGCTTTCAACCACGCTGCCCCTGATATTTGGGAGGTGATCTCTGAAAACTTCCACAGGTTTCTCACTATCTTCCAACTTGCTCTTTAAAATTCTTTTTTGGGGTGATAATTGAGAAGAGCAGAGTAGAGTAGAGACCTGGATAACAGTTAGGCTGTTGATGGACAAGCCTACCACACATCATGCTAAACAAGAACATCTCATTGTTTTGTTGCATTTCTTTGTATGCCTTTCTGTTTCCATCTGTTGTTTCTTAGACTGTATGCTCTCTGAGGCAGAGACCATCTTTTTGTTCTATATTTGTAAAATATCTAATCCTGGACAAAAATGGGGGCTTGTAAGTGTTATGGTAACAAATAATAATAATAATAATACATAGAATGCTTGACACAGGAGAGTAAATTTTAAGCTTTGAATATTTCTGTTAGACTAGATATTAAGTCACAGGGAATTCCTGTGCCTTTCCAGCTATAAAATGTTGCTCAGATGCCAATGGTTCTCATATGAATACTAAAAAATAAAGAGGAGAAATTAAGAACACAAAATGATATAGATAAAACCATGTATTTGAAGCTTTCTGATATACTGGCAATTCACGTAGTACTAAACTTTCTAATCTACAGTATAATTTTCTGGTGTCAGATGAAAGAAAAAAATAAAAATTAGTTGTCCATTCTTAGTGGGAGCTAAATTTAAATCATAAAGAAACCATGGAACAAGGACAAAGAAAAATATTTTAGGAAAAAAGTTTCCATGATAACATTTAACAGAATTATAATTATTACGTGCCATTTTTCTTGACTGGGGTGAATAATTTTAAGATATCAGCTTTAGTGATAGCTAAGGAAATTCATCACAAATGAGTTTTAGAACTAGATTTCTGTTTAGGAATTGTGAATTAGCGTCTGCTTAAGGTTTGTGTGCAAACACGAAAATCTCATTGAATTGATGTCCAAATTATTGATAGGATATCTTATCAGCATTAACCTGCAATGAGCTCTGTCATGGAAGAATCACTACTGTTCAGAACAAAATGTAACTGATGCCTTGAGCACGGGTTTGACAGTCTCACTGATCAAGTATCTTGGAATGGGAGACTGGGATTTTTTTCCCCTCTATCTATTCTCTCCCTCCAAACAAAATTAACAACCTGGTAATATCTAGTAAAGATACAAGAAGTCAATGGTTTTTAGAAAGTGCTGTGCTACATTAGTAGGCTAAGTCACCAGTGATCACTTTAAGTAACAAAACCAGCAAAGAGAATAGATCTCTTCATATTCTCACCTTATCTAGTACATGTTAGAAATGAGGGTCATGTACCAGCACTGACTCTCTTAATACCTCCGAGGCTACCCCAGCCTAAAATGATTGTTTTGAGACCAGCTACATATTTTACAGACGAGGGTCATTCAACTAAATAGCCCCCTAGTTTAAGGATGATGAATATCTATCCTTTCCTTTCCCTCCTCTGCTGAAAGAAGTTGTACAGTGTATATAATAGCACTCATACGTTTTAAATTTTCTATCATTTTGTTACAAATAAGAGTTATAAATCAGAGAATTCATCACTTCTAACTTTACTCATGGTACTATATATATATCTGCTGAAGTGTCTCTGTGGGTAAGACATGCTATATGTGGCTAAAAGATCCAGAGAATAATGTTCACACATCAGTGAACATAAAAGTATCATCAGGTTTTCAGTAGCAATGCTTTTCAGTTGAATAGGCCATGCTATGACCTCTGTTAAATTTATGAGAAGTGGAGAATTGAGACTACTCCCTGGCCTCAAGTTCTTGAATGATGTGTGAAGGAAGAGAATCATTTGGGACCCATACACTAAATATCTGCAATTTAGTGTCTTTTCAGGGTTTCTCTTTATTGCTGATGTTAAGAGCCACGTTCACTGTTACAACCTGTCTAAAGCTCTTTGAAGGGAGTGTGAACCTGTGTACATTACATTAGAAGAGATAATGACTTAAAAACACATTTTGACTTGGCAGGAGGGTCCAGAAGAGGACCCTACAGGTTTGATTTCCATTCCCACTTGTACCAAACCCTTCCTGTGAAATACCAAAGACAAAGATCCCTTCCTTAATCTTTCTGGGCCTCATTTCCCTGCCTTTAAAAAGCTACCTGTTTACTTATTTTGCCAGCCTCCTCTAAGTTATAAGCCCTTCAGGGCAGTATCTGCTATGAAATATTTGAACAACCACTAACAACAGTGGGACCTTGATCTTGGTTTGGACCTGTTCTGCAACCACCACCACTGCTGCTGTGTACAAAAAACAAGACTGGTGCTGAATTTAACAGAATGGTTTTTCTGTAGACAGCAGAATGGTTCTGAATATATGAAATGTTTAAAATACCTGATATGAATGAGGCAAACTTAAAACCAGTAGGTATGCCATCATTGTAAGGATCAATTTCTTTTTTAATTAATATTAATACTGCTGGAAGGGGCCTAGATGGGCTGCCCACTGTAAGCCACTCCAGCAAGCACGTGGACATTTTAAAAGCCATTCAAAGATGGAGGAAGCCTTGGAGAGGTTGTTAGATTTTGTATAGGTGGTTTTCTTTCCTAGAGTTATGTTACAGAATTTGTTTTTAATGCCAATCTGGGAAATTTGGGGGTACTATTTACGCAAGATTTTTGTACCATTTTGGGTCTGCAAAAATCTTTTGTATGTCAAAAAATTTATAGATGCTATAAAGTTGAAGAAAACAATTTAAACAGTTGAAGTTTTACAGCCACTCTGGGGTTAAAAAAGCTGAAATGTATCATTTTATGTCCCCTGTTGCAGCTAGAAAATATAACAGATAGTATTTTTACTTTCAGAAGGTTTACTATTAAACGTAGATAGGCTTAGACTACCTAAGAATACTTAATCTTGGGGGAGAGTGATGGGAAAATACTTCCACTAATGATGTTCAGTTCATGAAGACCTGCAAAATGTTATTTTTATTCGTATTGTGCTAATGCCTAAAGCCCCTAACTACCACTGAAATTGCACTGCACTAATGCTATGCAGTAAGAAACAAGCTCTGTCCCAGAGTTTGCCATATATTTAAAGTGCAGAAGAAAAGAAGTATTATTCTTTCCAATTTATATTTAGGAAATTATCCCACATAGAGATGAATTCCACTATTTGCTCATTGGTGCCAAATGAAATTTCAACTGCCTCTTGCTATCTGTGTCATACACACACACACACACACACACACACACATATATATCATAGCACTATGTACTTGAAGCTTATAGGTGCCATATGATAAAGTATCTTGTCTAAGGTCACAGAGGCTGAGCGTGACAGGATAAGTGAACACAAGAGCTCCTAAATCCTCACCCAATGCCATAACACAATATGATCTAGTACTTTTTTAGGCACATCCGATTGCACACCTGGTAGCAAGTCTAACGCTAACTTTGTCCCAGGAAATGTTATAGA